TTTTGAATATGCTGTATCTTGCCTTACACACGTTCGATTACGTGGATCGCTATAACAGCGAGTACTATCTCTTTCCACCACTCGAGGTAGCAATTCAATCCTTCTTGCAATTTTTTTTTAAGAGTAATAATAGGAAAAATGAAAATTTAGGATGAAAATTTAGTAGTAATGACATAGTGTATGTTATCTTATTAAATTAGTTGATGCATCAACGACTTATTGATTTGAGTGGAAGAAATTTAATTTTTTTAAATAAGGTTTCAAGTGAATAGAGAAACAAGTGTTAAGAAATAAGAATTATAAGAGTTTTTCTTTTATGAGATCTGACACGAGTTGATTTCGAATTAGTTACGGTTTAATGTGATTTTTGAATACTGAGAAATTAATAAAAAAAAAATTAATTGATACATATAATATTATGAGTTTTAAAAAATAAAAAGAGCCAATTATTAAATAATATAAGATTTATGTTTTAATATTTTAAATAACATAATTTATACTATATCATTAATCTTAAATTTTAATTTTAAATTTTTGTCTCATTTATTATTATTATTATTATCATTGTTATTATTATTTTAATTATTGTCAATTTTTTTACCATGAGTGTGCATTACAAATAGTGTGTTTTAGTCTGATAAATGATGATTTTTTAAAATTTTTGTTAGTTATGCACTGTACTCTTTAACTTATTATATTTACACAATATACTTATTTTTACTCTACATAGAAAATAATTATTATATTATTATGATTTAGTTTATATTTTTACCCTTATATTTTTACATGTTTAGTCAATGAAACTTTTTGTTGTTGTTCAAAAACAATTGTGCAGCCAGCCCACCGTCTTCTGGTGGGTGAGATTTTCCCCCAGTTCGGCAGGTACGGACGGGAAAGACATTTTTCAATTATATGAATTTATTAAAGATAAATAAAAAATGATTATTTTAGAGTTTTTTTTAAATAATATATTTTTTTATTAACCTTTTGATATTTAATAATGATATTAAATTTAATTAATTCAAAATCAATTTACATTGAACTCTATATAGGGAAACTTTTCAACGTGTGTTTTTTCATTTAAAAGATTCAAATTTAATATTTTATTTAAAGAAAATCGAAATCATTCCATTAAAATCAACAGGTCATTGATTCTAAAAAATAATATTATTAAAGAGAATAAAATTTATTTACATATAAATTTTATATATTATATTTATATAAAATTTTAATAATTTATTTTTTAGTTTTAATGATTAAAATTTATCATAAATTTTTAAATAAATAAAATAATTACCTTTAAGAAATTTAAATAAATTTTAATTATTAAAAATAAAAAATAAAAAATTAAAATTTTATATAAATATAATATATAAAATTTATATATAAATAAATTTTTATTTTAATATTAATTGTAAAAATTTAAAGTATTAATTTATTGATATCTGATAATTACATTAAATTCTCGTTACGGAACTCTCTCAATGTTATTTTTTTATTTATAAAACACAAATTAAAAATATAATTTGAGAGAAAACCGAGTTACTCTATCCAGTCCAAACTTACAGTTTGTTGGTAATAATAATAAAATTTAAATATACTAAATAATTGTTACACAAAAAAAATTATTATTAAATATTTAAATAATTTCATAAATAATATTAAAATTTTAAATTTAAAACGTTAGGATCTTAATTTTTCCTGTTAAGTATTTTCCGAGGGTGAAGACAATCAGGCAAAGCAAAGCAAAAATGCTTTGAATTGAATTGAGAGAGACGTGAAGGCTTGGTCTTTTTAATTTCTTCTTAAATAAATTAAAAAAAAAAAAACCAAAAAACAAATTTTAGTAAAGAAAACTTCCCTCTTCGTTATCCAATTCCTCTCTTTTCCTCCTTTGTTTGTGTTTCTTTCCTAGTTTCTTGCCCCAGAGAACCCTGATCTTCCAAATTTTAATCTGTAATTTAACTCGATTCTATTTGTTTTTCTTAATTCTATTCTACAATCGATTCTTTTTCGTAAAAATTTTAAATTTTTTTGGGTTTAATTTTGCCAAAGAAAAAGCTGAAGGGTTCATTTGTAATCCTTTTTATCTGTTTTTGTTCCCATTTGGTTTGTTACCAAATCAGTTCCCATAATTTCAAGAAAATCTCATTGCCTTTTCTTGTTCAGCGACGCCAAATGACTGGAATCATAATCGGAGCCATTTTTGTTTCGATTTAAAGTTCGTCTCTTTCTGGGTTGTTGTGAAAGCTTATAGCTTTTCTCAATTCCAGCTTGAAACTGAGCGTGGAGGGTCTCGTAACCTGAAATTCGTGAACTTGGGCTGGTTCCTTTTATGAGGGGGTTTCCCAAATTCTGTCTTGGTAAAGAAGGGGAAGATAGAGAAGAAGCAAAGGAAGGAACTGCCAAGGGTTATGCTTAAAGGAGAATTTGGAGAGACAGTACTTTTGTAGTTTTGGGTGCTTGCTATTTTAATTTCTTGGGTTTTTGGGATTATGACGAAAAGTGGTGATGGGCAACAGAGAACTCAAGGTGGTGGTGTTGTTTCAAGATCCGCTCGGAGCTCATTTCGTGCAATTTCTAGCTACCTGCGGATAGTCTCATCTGGGGCGTCAACTGCTGCGCGCTCTGCTGTGTCAGTGGCATCTTCCATTGTGGATAGAGCTGATGATTCTGGACATGATCAGGTTAGAAATGGAAATTCATTATTCGGTAAATTGTAGATGCTTTTGGTTAGGTTTTTGGTATAATTATGCTTAAGATTGTTTGAACTTGTTAAATTTGTAATTGTCTTAGTTATATGAAGAAGTGGAGCATGTAATAGATGTATGATTTTAGTGCAGTTTGGAAAAATATTAGCCTTATCATGCCCTTAAGTTGAAATTTTGAATTTGAAGTTTATGGTTAAACATTTAGTTTAGCTCTTTTTAATGTGCTTTTGGGATGGTAGACATGGTAAACGATGTGGTTTAGATCTGTAATTTGGAGGGGTTATTATATTTCTCTTTTGGGTCCATGTGAAAGGTAGTGTGATTGGCTATTGGATAGGTTTAAGCCCTTGAATTTGATATCAGAATCAAAGTTTTTGGTTAGTGTGTATAAACTCAGCTAATCTCTCTTGTTGATCTTCTGGACTTTTATCTAAACCTTAGCATTAGAGTTGAATCTTCAGGAAGTAGGTGAGCTCTTTAATTCATCTTTGGGACATAGTAACTTTTACCTTTCAACTTTTTGAGCCTAAAAGAATTGGGTATTTGGATAGCTTGTCCACTTTTTGGTTGCAATTTTGTCTACATGATTCTAGTTTTTCTTGATCATGATTCATGTTATTTTGTAGTCTTAACCTCTGTGTTATAACCAGATTCCTTTTAATTTCTGGCACTAAGTATTACAGATACGTAATAGGCTAATAGCACAATTCTGTAATGGAGCCTTTATTTGCATGAGTGGTTTTATTGCAGTGTCTTTTTGGAAATCTAGTAATTTGTCTTTCTATCTAGGCCAACAATTAAGTGATGGTATCTGCTTTATTATTCTAATATACTCTAGAATTTAGGTGGGAGATTATTGCCAACTGTCCAAACCATGGATATAATAAACAGTGCACATTTTTCCATCTGCTCCTTCTGAGTATGAAATCACAGTACTTGTGTTTGAACAGAATAAGTTTAATGGATGCAAAGGAAAAAAAAAAAAAGGGAACAGAAGCAAGTTTTTAGATGATGACCATAATGATCAATTATGCTGGTATTTCCAATCATTTTGGCAGTTGTAAAGATTACCATTTGGCTGGTTTGTAAGGCAGATGTTTTCTCTGTTTTTGACAAATTTTTTCAACCTATCATAAGAAGCAGTTTAATGTACCAATGTTGTGTCATACACTCTCCTCCCCCCCCCCCCCCCCCCCCAAAAAAAAAAAAAAAAAAAAACTTTCAATGTCATCTCTTTTAGAATTCTAGTTGACTCTTTGAGCATCTAGTTCGTGATTTGGATGTGTTTGGATGACTTGAAAATTAGTAATTGGGGTGAGGGGGGTTATCTAACTTGATAGGTGGACTCTTTGGGCATATTCTCTGTAAATGGCTGAATGTAATTATTACCTGTGCAAGGACATGCTGCACATTTTCTGAGCTGTATAGAGCTTTGGATGTGTAGTACATTGCCAAATGATCTACCTCTTCTCCTGGGACAATTATTAATGCATATACATGTATTTATTTATATGGGTTCAGAGTGATAATTTTTGTTATCATATGCCATTTTGATGATGTAAAGGTGCATTGGGCTGGATTTGACAAGTTAGAGGATGAGGTGGATGTTGTTCGGCGAGTTCTTCTGCTGGGATATCGGTCTGGATTCCAGGTCTGGGACATTGAAGAAGCAGATAATGTTCATGATTTAGTTTCCAGACATGATGGCCCTGTTTCATTTATGCAAATGCTACCAAAGCCAATAGCATCGAAGAGACCAGGAGACAAGTTTGCAAGCAGCCGCCCCCTTCTTGTTGTTTGTACTGATGGGTCCTTTTCAGGTGGTACCAACCTGCAGGATGGATTAGTTACTGCCTCAAATGGAAGCATGCCACACTACCATGACCCTGGGAGTGGTACTTTTGTGCCTACTGTCGTCCGATTTTATTCCTTGAAATCTCAATCTTATGTACATATGTTAAAGTTTAGATCACTTGTTTATTCTGTAAGGTGCAGTTCTCGAGTTGTTGCTATATCTCAAGCAACTCAGGTATGTTTACTTGCATATTTTCCTGAGCACCCCTTATGCCTAGACAGAGTGATTGAAGGAGAGATCTAAATATTGCAGATTCACTGCCTTGATGTCACAACCCTAGAGAGGGAATATACCATTCTTACAAATCCTATAGCTGTGGGCTATCCTGGTTCAGGAGGTATAGGCTATGGACCTCTTGCAGTTGGTCCCAGGTGGCTAGCTTATAGTGGAAGTCCAGTTGCAGTCTCCAATTTTGGTCGTGTTAGCCCTGAACATCTTACACCTTCTGCTAGTTTCCCTGGTTTTTCTTCTAATGGGAGCCTGGTTGCACATTATGCAAAAGAATCAAGTAAGCAACTTGCTGCTGGTATTGTGACACTGGGAGACATAGGATATAAGAAGCTTTCGAAATACTACTCCGAGCTTCTACCTGATTCCCATAATTCTTTGCAATCAGGAAGCCCTGGCTGGAAAGAAAATGGAACTGTTAACGGTCATTTGCTAGATCCTGATAATATTGGAATGGTACTTATAACTCTCCTTGAGTTTGATTGTGCTTGCTGTCTTACCAGTTTTTCTTTGAACTGTTACGTGTTAATGTTGTTTGTGTTTCTATGATATGTGCCTTTAATTTAGCTTTGGCAAATTGACTAATAGAATATTCAACCTGATATATTGGAAATTATGTGATGAAAACTCTTATATTCCATCATATGAACAATAGGTCACTAACTTGATGCACAATTTTTTTCTCAAGTTAACTGTGATGTTTTTGAAAGTTGTTTTTCTGATATACTATGCAAGATCAAGTTGTCTATGTGAGAATACCACATACAAGGAGTATCTTTTACATCTCATTTTTTCTTTTTGTGGGTTTCAGGTAATTGTCAGAGATATTGTCAGCAAAGTTGTCATTGCTCAGTTTAGGGCGCACAAGAGTCCTATTTCAGCATTATGCTTTGATCCCACTGGGATGCTTCTAGTGACTGCTTCGGTTCAGGGGCATAACATTAATGTTTTCAAGATAATGCCCGGTCTTCAAGGAAGCTCTGACGCTAGTGGATCATTTATACATCTTTACAGGCTGCAGCGTGGTTTTACTAATGCTGTAAGGCCAGTTTGTTTGTTTAAAGTATTCCTTGTATATGCAATTATTAGCAACATGGCCTTTTCTGAACCACTTTTCTGCATCTGGGGTTTCAGGTAATACAGGATATTAGTTTCAGTGATGATAGCAGCTTGATTATGATTAGTTCCTCAAGGGGGACAAGCCATTTGTTTGCCATCAATCCTTTGGGAGGATCTGTAAATTTTCAGTCAAGTGATCCAAAATTTAGCCCTAAACATAGTGCTGTTGGTGTCACAACTAAGCCACAAGTTCGTTGGCCACCTAATTTAGGTGCACAAACACCCAATCAACAGAGATTTTGTGCAACTGGACCTCCCATTACACTTTCTGTTGTTAGCAGAATACGGAATGGGAATAATGGATGGAGAGGCACTGTAAGCGGTGCAGCAGCAGCTGCCACTGGAAGGATGGGTTCCCTTTCAGGGGCGATTGCTTCCTCTTTCTATAACTGCAAAGGCAACAGTAATTCATTAGGTGATCGCAGCTCTTCGAAGACAAAATACCTTCTGGTTTTCTCTCCATCTGGATGTGTGATTCAATATGCACTGCAAATATCAGATGACCATGGTTCAACTCCTGTTATCTCTGGATTAAACACTGCTTATGAATCGACTACAGAATCTGATGGAAGGTTGATAGTTCAGGCAGTCCAGAAGTGGAATATATGTCAGAAACACAGTCGAAGAGAATGGGAAGATAACATTGACATATATGGTGAAAATGGAACTTCAGACAGCAATAAGATATATCCTGAAGAGATAAATGCAGGAAATGTTTATGCTGATGCTAGGAATACAGTTGCCAAGGAAAAGAATAATATTGAGGAAAAACATCATTTGTTTATTTCTGAAGCTGAACTACAGATGCATCAAGCTCAAATGCCATTGTGGGCTAAACCAGAGGTATTGCACTGCTAGGAATTTCAGTAGGTGTTAGTAATTGTGAGATGTTCATATATTTTGTTGATGATATTGACCTTTATTCATGTGCCACTATGTACCAGGTATACTTTCAATCCATGGTCACGGAGGGCATTAAAATGCCTGAAGAAGATGCTTTTGGTGGGGAAATTGAAATTGAAAGGTTTCCAACTCGCATGATTGAAGCAAGGTCAAAAGATTTGATTCCAATTTTTGACAATCTTCAAACTACCAAATTCCTGCAAGCAAGGTGTGGTGAAGTTATATTATCATGCAACCTCTTTTACTGTATCTGCAACTTCTTTTTCTGATACTTTGACTTGCTATTTGTTCAAGAATTTCTTTAAAGTTTAGATATTCCAGGCTTGTTTCTGTCATATCATTTTTAGAGGAATGGATTTTGCACAAATGGCTTAAGAGTAGTTAACCTAATATGATATATCATGCTTGGTATTTGTTCCCATCTTCTTTGGCATTTTATATTTTACTTGAATTTAATTTAGGCTTTTGCTAATGTGTAACTGATGTGGTAGTTCATTTTGTCGTTGTCAAGAGGTAACCATGCTCTATAATGTACAGGGTTCCTGCAGTAGATCGTAATAGTAATGGTAATTGGCAGCTGCCACATCAGAGCTCCAGGCTGTCTGAAAATGGTCAACTTTCATACCAAAGCAGCTCTGGCTCTCTTGATTCAATGATTGAAAATGGTGCTACTGTTGCTGAACTTCACAGTGGGATGGAAGAAACTGGGTTGGACAGCCCTCTAATGCGAATAGAATCCAATGGCTATGTAAATATGAATGACAGCCCTAGAACAAAAACTCGGCTTGAGAATGTAAATAACACACAGAGCTTGCAAATGGAGGCTCATCTAAAGTATTTGAACAATAACAATGAAGGCCAGAAAATGGAGAATCATTTTGAAAATGAAGGCGACGAGTTTGATTAGAGGTAATTTTTCTTGTTTTGCATTGGTATTTACTGCTTGGTTGTCATTAGTATTAAGAGCACTGAGCTAAACTTCTATATGTTTCAGACGTTGAGACATTCCTTTATTCTCCAAGATGGCTCTGAGAATGTTAATGCTGTGGGGCAATGTAGACAAGAACTGAGGCATAGGGGGCTTAACTAAAGAGCGGAACTATGGTACAAATGTTGTTCTTGTAAATAACAGACGGTATATAATATTGGCAATAATCAGATGATATATATGTGTAAATAATCTTTGTTATCCCTTTTAATTTATCAATTCTAAAAAGTTCATTTTTTTACTTTCATAATGTTCATGTAAGTTACAAAATTTTGATGAGTAGACCATTTTGATACTCTTTTTTTTTTTTTTTGAAATTTCTAGATTAGGGGGGAAAAAATTGCACTTTTTATGCCAAAATGACTACACATTATTGGTGTTACATTTAGCCGAGTTGGTCCTATTGTTAATCCTGTGAAGATTGTTTTTACAAGGTAAATTGGGTCATCAGTCACGTACACAACTGGGTCTTCCCTATGCTCCACTAAAAGTAGGAATGAATTTCAAATACCTTGTTAAATGAAACAGAGAACTATAGCATCTAAAACCATAAAACCCCTTTTAACAAATTAATAAAGGATGGAAATAAGTTCAAATTATGTCATGGTGATGGTTGAATTAGTTTTATGGAACAACCCAGATGACAACATCAAAATACCCATTGGCAGGTTTTGCTCAATCCAAATGTGGCTTGAACCAAAAATGGAAGTGCCATCACCATCACCCGTCACCCTCCAAGCATCCATAATGACTAGGAGAGCTTTAGACCATGGCATTGCCAGTGGACACAATGAACATCGTTAATTTAATCTTACCTTTGAGACGGTGTATAAGGAATCATATTTCCACAGGGGAGGCCGAGATCGGTGTAGATAGTAAAGGGGAGGAAAGTGTTAGAGGAAACAGAGAGAGAAAGAATTTATCAAAAAAAAAAGAAGAGAGAGAAAGGTTTTGATTTTTAATTTTATCTCTTTTTAATATTTTTTTTGACAAAAATAATGTTAAATAAGTTATTTAATGTTTTTAGAAGACATTTCGATAATTAAAAGTTTGAATCTTTATAAAATAAATTTTTATAAAATAAAGATTTGAACTTAAAATTTTTAATATAAATATTTAAAATTTTAATTATTGAAATGTCATTTAGAGACTTAGCACCCGTTATACACTACGTATAGCATATGTTGTAAAGGAAAATTGCAATAATTAATTTGTTCCGTAGAAAGTGGTAAATAGATATAGGTAAGTTTCCTGTATTTTCACTCAAAGCCCACCTAAGACTATAGAAGGTCATTTTCCATTTAGAAACCATGTTCAATCAAAGTTCAAAATCTTATTCTTCTTCTTCCCTAGACTTCATGTGGAGGCAAAGCTATGTAACACCAAACAAATGTGCCAAATGCCATCTTTCTTTTTCCTTATTTATTTATTTTTTTATTGTTTTCTGTTATTCATTTTCCTTTGCCTCAACTTCCCTCCTTCAAAACCAAGCCATTTCTTCTCCAAAAACTCAAAAGACATGGATTCTTATAAGTCCTATGTCTCTTTCCCCTTAACAACCCTTCCCTCATTCCATATATGACAAATAAATAGACTCCTCCATATGAACCCTAACATACCTAGCCCAAATGCCAAGCAAGGTTAGGTGATTGATAGCAACCTTCAAACACCCATAAAAAATCCTTCCCTGTTTCAGCAAATTCCTCCATGGGTTTCTCATGCTACCCTCCTTTGTTCTTTTCTTAGTGGTCACTTCCAATTCCGTGAAAAAATAACAAGGCCTTGAAAACAAGAGGTCACCACCACTGGCTGGGTTTTTGGAGATTTTCTGCCAAAAATGCAGGTTCATATATCACCAAGCTTGAGGCATGTCACAGTACTTCCTGGAAAAGGTGTTAGGGAATATATCAAAGTGAAGGTTGCATCCAGACGGGTTTCCTATAGAATGCTGTTTTACTCTCTTCTCTTCTTCACATTCCTTCTGAGGTTTGTTTTTGTGTTGACAAAAGTTGATAGCATTGAAGGAGAAACCAAGTGCTCTACCATAGGTATGTACATTTTCTTTAATTCAACTTTTATTTTGAAACAATAGCATCATACTTCAAATTCCAAAGGATAAATAGGTAAGCTTAAAGATACATGAAAAATTCCAAATTTTGCATAGGTTAATCCAATTCTAGCAAGAGATGTGTAAGAATTCGGTTGGTGCATTTACATAAAAATGTCACTGTTTAGGTATGATTTGTCCCAACAGTGCTTCAACTAGGGTATGACTGATAATACTTTGTTTAAAGATTAAAATACTAAAAACATTTAATTAATTGATGTTTTGGTCTAATTTCCATTTTCTCTTGTAACATATATATAGGTTGCCTGGGAAAAAAAATAGGACCAAGGATCTTGAGAAGGACTGAATCAAAAGTAATTTCCCTGCACCTTTTCAGCTTAACAAATTATTCAATTCATTTCCTTTTCTGTTTTGCTTTTGGAAAATCAGTTTCCTAGTTTGGGCAAGAAAAAGGAAAATTTCCAAAAATGACCTTTATGCCATTGATGAAACTGACACATGTTTCATAATTATGGGCTCTGATTAAGAGTATAAAGGTCATTTCCATTACCTATAATTTATATTGAATTTAATGTTTTGTACATCGTTCCACACAAACTGCAAATACCTCAGTCTCATGATTAGTGGAGTCTGTCACTGATTCCACAAGAACCCCACTAATCATGGAGCTGATGTTTCTACAGGCTGTGTAGAGCAAACTACAAAACACTTTTTTAGTTTATTTTAGCCATTTGAAACTAATTTTCTAAGCACTATTTTCTTTTAAAGTTAAGATAGTCATTTTTTTTTCTCTCTTGTTTATCAAAGGTCCCAGACATCATGTACAAAATTTTGGAAGAACCCATGAGCAAAGATGAATTGAAAGGAAGATCTGATATTCCTCAGTCCTTAGAAGAATTCATGGCTGAAGTAAAGGATGACAGATTAGATGCTAAGGCCTTCTCTCTCAGGCTCAGAGAAATGGTACCATTCTCCTCTCCTTTATTTACATATACACCTGATTATACAATCTAGAGTGGAGTATCTTGAACCAGTTTATACTTAGCAAACAATCCAACAAAAAATTCAAACATTGTAATGAAAAAATCATTAATGAACATAATTAAAAATTTTGTTCTAGTATTTACTTTGAATTTTTTTAGGTGACCCTGCTTGAGCTGAGGACTAGGACAGCTAAGATCCAGGAGTACTTGTACCGCCATGTAGCATCAAGTAGCATCCCAAAACAGCTACATTGCTTGGCACTTAAGTTAGCCAATGAACATTCCACCAATGCGGCTGCCCGCCTCCAGCTCCCTTCCCCGGAACTTGTCCCAGCCCTTGTAGATAACACCTACTTCCACTTCGTCCTTGCGTCGGACAATGTTCTGGCTGCTGCAGTCGTGGCCAAGTCGCTTGTGAAAAATGCATTACGCCGGGAGAAGTTTGTTCTCCACATAATAACAGACAAGAAAACTTACTCACCTATGCAGGCTTGGTTTTCACTGCATTCTTTATCGCCTGCTATAATTGAGGTTAAGGCATTGCACCATTTTGATTGGTTTTCAAAGGGAAAGGTGCCGGTTTTGGAGGCAATGGAGAAAGATCAACGAGTGAGGGCACAGTTCAGGGGAGGATCATCAGCCATTGTGGCAAATAACAGTGAAAAGCCTTATGTAATTGCAGCGAAGCTACAAGCACTTAGTCCTAAGTATAACTCTCTCATGAATCACATCCGCATACATTTACCGGAGGTAAAGACACACATTAATCAAAACTATAGAAGGCCTAATTTTTTCAATCTTATGCTTAGTTTAATTCAAATGCATCATCTTTCTTTGCAGTTGTTTCCTAGCTTGAACAAGATAGTGTTCCTAGATGATGACATTGTGGTGCAGACTGATCTCTCGCCTCTATGGGACATTGACATGAATGGAAAGGTCAATGGAGCAGTAGAAACATGCAGGGGAGAAGACAAATTTGTGATGTCAAAGAGATTCAAGAGCTATCTGAACTTTTCCCATCCTTTAATTGCAAAGAATTTTGATCCTAATGAATGTGCATGGGCTTATGGAATGAACATTTTTGATCTAGAGGCTTGGAGGAAGACCAACATAAGCCATACATACCATTATTGGCTTGAAGAGGTAACTCGTTGGTGCACGCTGTACTCTCACTTGACACCTTAAAACTTGTGGTTGAAATGGTTTTTAACGTTGATATTCTGAATTTTTCCATTTTGTAGAACTTGAAATCAGACCTGAGTTTGTGGCAGCTAGGGACATTACCACCTGGACTAATAGCATTCCATGGTCATGTTCATGTTATTGATCCATTTTGGCACATGCTGGGGCTTGGATACCAAGACAACACAAGTTTTGCAGATGCTGAGAGTGCTGGTGTCATCCATTTCAATGGAAGAGCAAAGCCTTGGCTAGACATTGCCTTCCCGGAACTCCGGCCATTGTGGGCTAAATACATTGATTTCTCTGATAAATTTATCAAGAGTTGTCATATTAGGGCATCTTGAAAAGGATTTTGAGGGATTAATGTTTGGACCATACTGATGATAAAGAGATCTGTTTGCATATGGAAAAGAAGAACAGAGGAGAGAGGGAGAGAAGCAACTTTGCAAATTCAAAGCACTCATTTACAGGATTTGAAAATGAAAACAGCATCAAGCTGTTGATTCTCTGCCCTTTCTCTGCCCTTTGAAACTCCTTTCTTCCTCTGCCTTTTTTCTTCATACCTTTTTTTTCTTCATACCTTCCTTTCTTTGTGTAAAGAGAAGTTACTAGTAATTATACTATTTTCTTTATATGTGATGATTCCTTGAATAATAGAATAACTTTCACTGCTTCAAAATCCCAAAAATTTTTATCTTAAAAGTCTCGTGCTAAGTGGAAAAAATGGGCTTATAGTGGTGAGACATAACGTCAAATTTAGGTATTCAACTATGATAGCCAAGAACAAAAGGGTTGCTCCTTTTTTCAGCTACAATGCCAGTTCAACCATACATGTTGGAAAGAAATTACTTTTCATTAGTCAAGGATTTGAGAGAATAATTAGTAGATGATTGAAACAATAAACTTACGTATTGAACCATCATATCCAAAAAGCACCTCATTCTTCCAATTTCTAGGTCCACCAAACAACTGAACAAACAATAAGTTAGGTCCTTTTCTGCTCCCAACTCATAATCATTTGGTTATTAATGACACCAATCCAAATCTCTATCCCTAAATTTTGAGGAAGAAATTGACCTAGTTGGTAAAGAGTTTTCTTTGCTTTTTTTGTATTTGTGAAATATAAAGGTTTAATTACTAGAGAAGTCACCAAAAAGTAACTTATCATGAACTCAAGGAAAGGTAAACTTAATTTAATACGTCTAAAATCTGTTTAAAATATGAGTCTCAATTCTTTCCTCACATACATTATTCTTCAAACCATGTAAATTAAGATTCATGGTAGTAAAAGAGCTCAATCAATAAATAATCAAAATTGCAACTAATGAAATGGGAGAATTCTAAACCGGAAAGTGAATCAAAATTCATTCTCTCCAAATCCAACTACACTCACTTTTTCCCATACACATTGTTCACCAGCTCTCTTAAGAACTTGGCAGACTTTGTGATGGGAGAATTGATAGCCATCAAGTTGTACAAGACGGTCTCAACTTCCTCAATGCTTGGCCTGGCCTTGAACCTTGAAACAACCTTCAATTCCCCATCTTCTTCAACATGAACTTCCCATCTCTCTCCACCCAAAACCCCGTCTCTCACACACTTGAAAACCACCCCTTTTCTTTTGCTCAAAAAACCTCTAACTTCCAACCCCATGAATGAATAAATCACCTCAAAAGACCCAACAAACGCTTTCATAGCACCAAAATTATTCTTCTCCTCAGAACTCCATCTGGGATTAAGTATCACCACTGGTTTTGGATATAGACTCTCAGCAATCATTCTTATGATCTCCAATTGTGATGCCTCTGGCGCCAAAAAGACCGCCACCTCGGCTGAACTCGAAATTCTGTTAGGACTGTTGGTTACTGAAGTTAAGTCTATGTGTTCAACGTGGTTCAGCATAAGGGATTCAAATGCTAGAATTCCAGCTTCTTTGAAGGACGCATCAGGCCATAGTATTAGAAATTTAACTAAAGACGCTTTACTTTTGAGGGGTAAATCTTTGAAGATATCAAGAGCTAGTTGAGAGAGGGATGAAGGAGAGTCATCAATGAGCGGGATTTCGACTTGGAATCTGCACTGTTTGAGCTTCTTGAGCTTACCCGCAGCAAGTTTGGGGTTGTTGAGGGGCTTCTCTAGGGAGGAGGAGAGGCATGTTTTGGCTTGGAGAATAGCTTCTTCTTTGGAAGTGGGAGGGGAAGGAGGAGAAGAGAGGGAGGCATGGAGGAATAGGGAGGAGAAGTTGGGTTTCCGGGGGACATTTGAGATGAAGTAAGGGAGATACGAAAGGCCATGCCGGTGGTGGGTAGGGAACATAGATGGAGTTTTGGAAATTTGCAGGTGAAGTTTGGGAAGATTGGAAGCCATTGAAGTATTTTTCAAGCCAGTGGAGAACTGCGGATCTAGGAACATCTTAGTGAAGAAGGGGTCTAGAGATAAGGTACAGGTGGCAGTCTTAGTGCCGCACAAAAGAAAACCAAAACATAAAGGAAAGAAAGACGCGAGAAAGGCTTATCTAAGCCTTTATACAAAGCTGCGCAGAAACAAAATTAAGCCTTTCGGTGGCACCCATTTCATAAGTTTATGCTTTAACCGTAAGTAAGACAATTTGATCATAGTAGTCCAAATAATTTTAATTTATCAAAGGAATGTAAGTTCGTATGCTTACCCATCCACAAAGTCTCAAAAAGGCAGAGATTCCAAACTTAATATGGCTTCTCCTTGATGCATGATCAACTGAGAGAGGGTGCGCTCTTTCACTATTTGTGGTATGGATGGCTTGAGTATGGGACAGGGCACAGTGACAATCATTAAAATTTACATGCGGGTTACCAACATTAAATGATAGAAGAGCACATACATACTCACCCACCAAATCCAGCTACAACAGTTCAGCAAAATCTAAAACAGCTCGGCCAACAATGGAAAATGAATACAATTGTTCTGAGTCAAATGCACGCAAGGCCTAATGGTTATTGGTTGCCCGCTTAAGCAACAGGCGGGCGGAGTACATGGTCCTGTGAGGTATCCACAGCAGCAGGAGGCATGAACTGCCACATTGCCACTCCTGGATAACCAATAAACGGGACCAACTTGTTGCCAGGAGCTTGGCCTTGTGCAGGAGCAGCAAATGCGGCTGGGACTGCAGGATGGGCAGGCAAGAAGCTAGGTTGAGCATTCATTGCTTTTAGTTGCTGCTCCAGCTTCTCCTTCTCAGCCTTCAGCCTCTGCTTCTCATCACGAAGCTCATTCTTTTCAGCCTAGACAATAGAAAAAGCAGCCTCAATCAATCACTTGAGTACACTCAATACTTCTCTAATCATTTTATAGATACAGGTATTAACAGTTTCCAGACATCAAATAACATTCCAAGATTTCAATACGAAGAAACTTAAGACAAATTCACCTTCAACTCTTTAATCTTTTCCTGAAGACTTGAGTTTGAGTCCTTCAATTTCTGGGCTTCACCACGTAACTGATTCACCATTCTCACAGCATCAATCAAAACAGCAACCTTGTCAGTCTTGGGAGGCTTTCCAGGCTCCAGAATAGAACCCAATTCCAGAAACCTTATGGTAAATATTGAACATCAGTGCTCATCAGAAGAAAAAAGGGGGCTTGGGGGGGTGACAAAGGACAAGGCAAGAAACAGGATAGAGCAAGTACTTGTCATTTAGTCTATCCCTACGCAGCTTCTCCCTACATGCTTTGGAGCTAGTTGCATTGCAAGAATCAGATCTAACCCTGCAAAAAGAAACAGAAAAGTAGACAAATAAACATTCCATATTGTCACAGGTTTGGGCAAAAACCATCAAAACTACATTAGCTCTTCACGGATAAATGCCCCAGATGTTATTAATGTCTTTGAAACATCATTGCCATGGCAACCATGCATAAATCTTTTAAATGATCCTCCCAATTCTGCCTAAAATAACCCAACTGGCTAAGCCACCATTTCATGAAACCATTTCTCAAGCTTTCAAAACACAGAAATATTGGCAAATAAATAATTAAACCTCAAGAAAGATTAATCATCACTGAATCTCAAGTACCAATGCATTTTTAACCCTATCTTGTTTTCCAATAATAATAAGAACAAGAAGACAGGAGAGCACCTCTTCTTTGAGCCTGATTCCTTTTGCCCTTCTGAATTCCCAAGAGAACCATCAACTTCCACACTAGTAACAGGTTGTAACACATAAAAACAAAGAAGTAAGATCACGAGAATCCAAATTCCACTTCCATTCTGTAAACTGAGTTGGGCATGGGGGAAACAAGTATACCAAGAACACAAGCACTCCATAACCAAAAGTAACTAAGCATATAATCAAATTAATGAGGCTCCAATTAGGATATGTTTGCAACTAACCAAAACAGATTCATAATCTAAAAAAGTCATGAAAATCTACATGAGTCTCTTTTCTCTGTTCCACAGAACCTAGCACTACTCTCCCACCAAGATCTAGCAGGACCAAATGCCTCATCCCAAGGTTCATGTGGATAAGGACCATTACTAGCAACATACAAAATTCCATAGGTGATCACTCTCTGCATTGCAAACTAACTGAATCGCATTACTACACCCAGATCAGAACACCATTACCTTGATGCGTCAGAAAAATAAAGAAATTACCCTAATCGCCAAACTTCCAACTGAAAGCACTTCCCCTGATTCAACCATTAAGCACTATTTCAAAAACCCCAAATTCTCCACACTCATATGCAAGCAACAGATTCCAACAAACAAATACTAGCTGCTATTTAATCAAATTCTAAATTTTTTTGATTATCGCAAAAAACAACAATTGGATGAATGAAATTAACCCTAAACTACTGAGAAAATCAAAAGTAATACACACCGATCAAAAAACATTAATAAAAACCCTAATTATGAGACAAATTGAAAACCTGAAAACATTAGAAGGAGGGTTAATTGGCTGCGTTGACCAAGTGAACCCGGAATATGGAGCAGAAGTAAAATTCCCGTCATTGACCGGGATATCGTCGATCAAGGAATCGAACTGAGACCAAATATTGGTGCCTTCAAGGGACACCATTCTGCAAGTAGGCCGGAAAATTCTTCTGGGCTGTTGATGATTTTTCCGGCTTAGGGAAAGGGGGAAGGAGTGAAGGAGGGGAGGGGGTTTGGGTTGGCGGGTGGATGTTTGGGGAGAGAGAAAATGATGGGGGGTAGGAAAGGGAGGACAAAATTTTCTCGGGAAAAAACAGAAAAAGGGTAGGGGGGGTGGAACTGGAATCTTGAGCTGAAATTGGATTTTGATTGGTGGTTGTGTCCTGTCCTTGTGCACCATGGAGAAAACGCGGCGCTTTGCGTGTTGGGCTTCGAAAAGCCCACGTCACCTTACGAATTTGAGAACAATTTCTCCCTTACATTGGTTTCTTCACTTTCTTGTTTTACCGATCGAATTGTTTTGAGTGGTAAAATATAATGAAAAAAATACCCAAATCCATCCAAAGATAGCGGTGGGGATGGATGCATTCTTAAATAAAAAATAGGATAAATTTTTTTATAAAATTTTTAATTTAGATAAATTACTTTAAAATTAATATATGATATTATTTGATATCAGTAATTTATTAATTTATTACGTCACTAACAACAAATTGTTGATATCAAATTAACATATTGTTAATGTCAAATAACATTACATATTAAATCTGAGGTAATTTATTCAAATCGAAAACTTTATAAATGAATTTATCTCATTTTTTATTTAGGATAGATTCGTCCCTACTATTATAATTTGGGGTAGATTTAGGTGTTCTGCATTACGAAAAAAGTCTTAATATTAAAAGTATTTTTTGTTTTTTATTAGTATTAACTTTTTAGTATTTAAAAATTATATTTTTATTGTGATTAATTTGGAATCAAGTTATATTGGATCTTGTATTGGATTTCATAAAGGGAAACTCCTCCAACATCAATTTTTTCATTCGCAAGACTTGAATTTAAAATTTTATTTAAAAAAAACTGAGTATCTTTTACTCAAACTAATAGATCATTAATTGAATGTTTTTTTATTAAATAATTAATATTTTATAATTTAAAGCAATTCATATTAGAAAATACTTTTTCATACTCATATTATTATTTTTTTTTTAAAAAGTAAATAAATAATTTTATAATAAAATAAATAATTATAATTTAAGAAATAATTATAATATTAAAGTAAAAAATATTTATTTTTTAAAAATAAATCTATTATTTTGGGCGGTATACATAGATAGCTTTTTTTAATGAAAAAAGAAACATTATTTATGTAATATCATATAGAATGTTGAGGTGAAAAAAATGTCATTTTGTCTAATTCACAAGTCTTATTTAAATTTTATTTATCATTATTTATCATATAGTTGGGATTGTAATACTAGTACATCATAATTTTTAGATTACTAAATTACAAAAATTCATTTAAATTTTGGTAAAAAAAAAATGTGTACTTGTATGCTTGTCATAAAGTGGTAGTGGAAAAAGGGCTCAAGCTTAAGATGTTGGTAAGTGATGAGGCTTTCATCCCATTCTATCAATCAAATATTTGATTGATGGGAAAGGTGAGGAGGAAATTAACTTTTGAAAAATTATTTAATTAAAGTCTTACGTATTGGCAGTTGAAATTAAGTATTTTCACCAAACAGTATTATATCAATCAGAATGCTTGTCATATGATGATTTATGACTACCAAATAA